ATAAATTTAGAAATAAATGACAAAACTAAACCATAATAAATTATTTACTGACCATAAATTTATAAAATTTATAATAAAAAATAAAACCTTCACAAATGTGCAAATAAATAGAAAATTGTAGTCAATTTATTGTGTCATATAACTACTAGGCCCACTACATTCACGGAAAGCTGAACCTTGATAAGCATAAAGGACTAGGCCCACTACATCTGGCATGTAACTTCCTTGTTAACATAAAGGACTAGGCCCACTACATTTGGCAGGTAACTTGTTACAGGAAAGGACTAAGGATTACAATTCAGATGTGAAGAAGATGATGATGATGATGAGAAGACCCAAGAGCCGTCGAGGCATGCAATTAGAGTTAGAACAGTGTTTTCGAGGACGGATGATTATTTTGAGGATGACCGATCGCACGGTGGTACTTAAATATCATACTTCAAAATACAATATAGATAATAAGTCGACATTTTATAATGTAGTTGCGCAGTTTTCATTAAAAAAAAAAGTTATGGTTGTCTAACCGGGCAGCCATAACAAAAACATTTGGGTCAAAAATATTATATCCCTCAATATAACACCTAAAAACCTTAACAAAATTTGTGTAAAAAATGTTACACCCATTGCAAGAGCATGCACACATTATGAGTATATGCAAGCAGCCAAATGACACCAATAAGGGCACTACTATAAGGATTTAAAGTACAAACTAACATATCTCATTTTGTATACATACATATATACATACACTTCAACTCCAATGGAGGTCTTATTAATCTGTTGTACAAGAAAAAAGAATAGATTATTAATACAACAACATCACAGGTTCTGCTCTGAAAATAAAATTCTTCCCTAGTAATTTATCAGCTGTCCAATAGTTGATGGTGTCTTGTATTCCATTATTCTGTTCTGAGCACTTTATTCTCTTCAATTTCCCGAAAAAAATCTCATCGGACCTCGTTTAAGATGGCCAACCGGAGGGAAGAAGTTAAAACAGTATGTGCATATAATCATCATATTCTTATAAATCTGATCAACTAAGCTACAAGAAAGCCAAATATATTTCCTTCTTTCTCATGGACAGTAATTAACCTTTTTGCCATCATGAGTGTGTATTTGGAGATTCCTGAGCTGAATTGAGAAAAATTTTCAATCTGTTCATAGCATTTTTAACTCTTGTGACACGAGCAGAGAATTTGTTTTCGTCATTTAGGATCCTCGTCGATTTAGCTCTGATCCCTTAAAATGGGAAATTTAATCAGCAGCTTCGTGTTGGGATCAAGGGATCATAATCGTAAACATCACCAGCCTTGACAAAACGTCCCTTCACACGTTTCCTCACATCTGCTCTTGCCTTGCGTGATGCATACCTCACTTTCTTTTCGAACCTTTTCATCAAAATGAAAAACAAAAAATTTTTAAACATGTGGTGGAAAGGGAAGGAATAGGGTCATGTGGACAAATAAATTTCTTACACTTAATTTTTTCCGATTGCCTCATATTTTAAACTATTCTCAAGATCTGATATTAAAGATAAAACCAATGAAGTTTTACAGAATACACAGAAAGGTTCTGTAAATTACTTAAACTGTCCTCATGACGAATCTATTACAGTTTTACTATAAATGTTAAGATGGATTCATTTCTGAAATGCTTTCTTATGAAGAGAAAACATTTAATATGAACCATAGCTACGCTAAAAGGGAAATTTGCATTTTACAGAAACATATGGGTTATATCGTATTATTTAAGAAAGACCTCAGGAAGTGTTGGTAGTAACTAGTAATCCCAAGTAAAAGAAAAGTTAACTGAAGTTTTAAAAGTCAAGGCGACTGGACTCAACAATTACACCTCAAGGATATATTCTGTGATACAACCCAAGATATGCAACACTCGGTAAGTCCCTAAATTGTTAGCTAAGAAAAAACACCGTTTTCGGATAAGCCATTTTCAAAGAATCATGAAACCAACTTCTGGAAATAACACGTTCCCCATTAAATTCAAAATATTGTAAGGTAACCCAATGATTAAAGAAAAATAAAAAAGGGGGATAATCTTACTTTCGGGCCTTTTTCTTCTCCTTGTAACGCAAAACGGCATCACTCCTGCTACCTGCTGGAGGCCCCGGTATGGATGAGACCCCACAATCCTGATGATCCCCAGCACTGCTTTCCCTTTCCCCAGTAATGCCTGAAAACGAAAGGCCCGATAATGTTTGCCTTGCAAAACATATATTGGGTTCCGTTTTGCAGCTCATAATCGAGTCAGCAGATGCGGCATTGCTGCAAGCCGGTTGCGTCATATTGACCCCTCCAAGTGTTGATCCCTGGGAATTTTTCATGAAAAATGAAATATATTTAGGCATTTTACTTTGACGTTATTGGATATGCGCTTGGGATTCTTGTATTACAAAGCTTTCCACTTCTTTTTGTGATAATAAGTATCCTCTTTAGTATTATGGGCTTATGGGGGTAGTAAAGTTTGCAATAACTATCTTAAATATGGTGGTTTGTTGTTTGCCAATCTTCACATTTGGGCTGTCTATGAAAATATCCAGGGAAATTGTAGAATAACCAAAATAAATGAAAAAAAAGAGAGAGAGATTTATTCATCTAACAAATTTCACCTTGTCAAGATTTTTATTTTTTCAGAAGGCCTCTACGGTAATTGTTGCAACTTTGAAACTTCCTTGTATTTTTTCTGTTACTTAACCACAGGAGTAGATATTATGATTCTCCTATATTTCACAAGATCTTATCTAGGGAAGTATAGGCAGCTAATTGTCTCACTTGCAAAGAAAGATTACCTCACCAACCCTCAAATATAACAATAAGGATAAACTTTTAAGGAAGATTTAACACGATGATAACACATATATAGCTATACATAGGATTACCAGACTAAAGATTCACACCAAGTTAAGAAATTATATTATACACAATTAAATGGCAATAGGATCGTATGAAGATGCAACGAGTTCATTTTACGAATTTCCATACCTCAGCTGCATAAGCACACTGGGACCCAGACATGTCTTTCATCCCGAAAATCCCATCAATACCGTCATCTCCAAATAGCTGGTCCGGATTACCAAGAGAAACACCAAAGAGCTCTTCATAGTTTTCAATGCTCAAGTCAACCTCATCCATAATCAAATCATCATAAAAGCTATCGTCACATGCAACAGCTCCCTTAGCTGTGGACAAGGAATCCTACAACAAATAGACAACAATTTCCAGTCAAGAGAGAGCATTTTTCCAATTAGATGAACAGAATCAAACCAAAAGCTGC